GCTTACGGGATCTGTCAGAAAATCCATCTGACCATGAGGGTTATGGGCCTGTAGCACATCTCTGCAGAGCAGATAAACAACCAGAATCGAAGGATTAGGTCTTGATATTTTTGTTTTATGACACAAAATCCTAAGTCATCGTTTTATGCATTTTGAAACACCCAAGGTCTTTAGGTCCTTGCTGGCTATTCAGGGTGACACAACTGAAGGGTATCCATCAAGAAGACAAAGATGAGCCTGTATTCCTGAGCCGTAACAGGCACGTTTCTCTCAGGCAGCATAAATTCCTGCCTTATTGCTAAGCAAACGACGTGTCTTTCAGCCTGCATGACTGAGAAAATCCTGGGGAAAACAGTAACCTTCAAGGTTCAACTTTTCAGAGCAAAGCAGAGATGCAAATAGCATTGCTGATGATTTACAGAGAGCATGATGCAGGCTACAAGCCCACTGCACCCATCCTGGTGGAATATACTCCTATTGGATAGGGAGCACAGTGTCTCTCTGGTAAGTCCGTCCCCAGGACCGCCACATGGGCACAGGCATGAATCTCACTCTTCATGCTGCATATCTCTGCTTTGTCCCTGCCCTGATGCAAGCACGGTACAAGGCAGGTAGCAGCAGCTCAGCCAGAGGACTGCAGACCAGCACGGAACTGGCTTAGGATCGAGCCACGGCAGCGAAAGCAGCGTCAAAAAGAATGTCTCGGAAAGGTTTGGTCTGAGGACCTGACTACACAATACAGGAGACTTCAGGATCCTGCGTGTAAGAAGAAGAGTGATAAGTGTGGTGAATGACTTCATGGACCCCAATCTTGTGCTCAATCAGAATCATTTTATTGCTCATACAATACAATAGTTACTAGAGCCAATCAGCTTTGGATTCGTGGCTTTGCGAATGCCAGTTCACAGTTGCTGTTTTCCAGGATCTTTTGCAGCTGGATGTGTGAAAACAGCTTACCTCATGAGAAGAGCAAAGGGAGGCACAGGATGCGCTGATCTTTCAGGGTCATGAGACAGTGCTGTTCTGTCTCAAATTATATGGTTTCCCACAGATAAGTAGGATCAAAACCTTGGACTTCAGGAGAGCTAACTTTGGCCTCTTCAAGGAGCTACTTGGAGGAATCCCATGGGCCAGGGCTCTCGAAGTAGGGGGGTCCAAGAGAGCTGGTTGTTGTTTAAACATCACTTCCTCCATGCTCAGGAGCAGTGCATCCCCCTGAGAGAGAAATCTAGCAGAGGAGGCAGGAGACCCGCATAGATGAGAAAGAAGATTCTAGCGGAGCTAATGTGGAAGAGAAAGGTCCATGGAATGTGGAAAGAGGGACAGGCCACTTGGGAAGAGTACAGGAACGTGGTCAGAGCATGCAGGGATGCAACGAGGAAGGCCAAGGCCCACCTGGAATTGAATCTGGCAAGGGATGTCAAAAACAACAAGAAGGGATTCTTCAACTACATCAGCAGCAAAAGGAAGACTAGGGACAATGTGGGGCCGCTGCTGAATTAGTTGGTTGTCCTGGGG